TTGTATTTGTTTTTTTTGTTGTGTGCGGGACTTTTCTGGGGCAGTGCACAGGACATGAGTTCAGGAGTGATCAAAGAACTGCAGGTCTGTGTAACAGTAACTGTTGAAGCTACATTTCAGCTGTATTCACACAAATCCAGAAATATGGCGCCTTCCTGCAGGGTTGTGTGGAGGTTTGGCCATGTTTATTTGTGCTGTGAAACGATCAGAAAAGTTTTATTTCTCTGATTCACTGCTTTGTTCTCGCTATCGTCTCTCCCTTTCCTCATTTAGCTCGACCTCGGTGGAGTCGGGGAGGAAGGGCCAACTTTGAATGGTGCATTTACAAACAGCAACGGACAGATCCTGCATAGCTTGCCCTAGGTGAAAACTTGAAGTAATTGTAAAATATCAGTAGTCATGCTTTTGTAAATACAATTTTTTGTGAACACATACCAATTAAAATAGAAGAACGCTATAACGAGGGGCTCGTGCATTTTTCAGAGCTTGGGTAGTGCTGTGTAGTGGGTACTGAAGTGTCCTGTGAACTCTTTGTTTCTGCTGAGGCAACATTTGTTCTCTCTCTAGCTCACACAAAGAGAAACATCGCTCTTTGGCACATGGTTTGTACTGTTTTCAACAGCTTCACTCGCAAAGTTGGGTGACTGGCGGTGAAACTGACAGCAGCAGCACGTGAAGAGGCAGAGAAGTGCAACCGTGAAGGGACAGACCAACGAGATAACAATAATTTATTGCTTTATTTATAATGCAGGATAATTTGACACAAACTGGTACTGGCTGAGACGCGAGATGAAATGAGATGATGGATTTGAAGGGTTGTAACCTCTGATCCTAAGCCAGCTGAGGCCTTGGAAGGTGGCGGAGCAGCATTGTGTATCCTGAAAGACAATAACATGATGATGATAGGGGGTGCTGTATGTTTTGGCAGGGAGGTCGTGATTTACTACAGAGTGGCCACAGGAAAAAATGCAAATGATGGGATTGGTTTAATGATTTGGGAGTAACAACAGAGAAAGAAGCAAACATATTGAGTGGTTTTTGAATACATTTGGGAAGAGTGTGGAGTGTAATGACTGCATAAGATGTCCAAAGGAAACATCCAAATATGTCCATGCCCTCTAAAATGGGTTTGGGCACAAAACGACGTGGTTGGGTTCAGGGAAACATTGTGGTGTTCTGTCATTGAGGTTAAGCGATCTTCGTCACCTAGGTTACAATAATAAACACGTTAAGGTCCGGGAAAGGTCATGGTTAAAAGAAACCAACATTGACTGAAGGGTTCAGAAAACAAACCGCCGTCTCTTGTTTGCATTGACAATGAGTTAATTTCTTAAGGTTTCTGACAAACACCAGGGTCACCTGCTGATCAAAAGAATCTGGATGAAGACAGTGTACTGATGTGTGCAGTAGGTGGGCGGGTGAAAGCCTGATAATTAAAACGATGATTAAATGACTATGAATAAATTATTCTTTCACTTATGCCGACTACAGACACATAGTTGATTTGAAAAGAATTTGGTCATGACATTATCATTCCTGAGCTGAGATGTCAGCTGCTTTAAAGTTCTCTGTATATTGAATGTATAATTGTCAAAAGTACTACATTTAAATGTTTGGTGGTAGAGTTGGGGTCCGATAATAGTGTAGCCTTGAATCCATTAAAATCTTTTCTGATTTTTTTTGTTTTGTTTCAAATCTCAACCTGAATGTGTGGATTTAGCCATTCATCTACCTTTCCCAACTTTTGCAAACTCTCAGGGTTTTCTTTTTCCAACAGCACAACATTGCTTACTGCCATAGGTGGAAGTAAAGAATTACAGCTACTCACATAACTGTAATTAAGTCATGTTTTTGGGTACTTTTTTGAGTCCCTGGTAACAAATTGGGCTGTTCCAATTGGACCGCAATTGGGTGATGCAAGGGGCCAATGAAAAAATGAGAAAGAAACACAGGCACAGGATTACTTAGTAATGTAACAGTACTTCTACTTGAGTACTTACTTTCAGTACTCTATCCACCACTGGTTACTGCGAAGGTAACACCCAACTCAATTGCCTCCTGACCTGAGAAATCCTGACACATCTAGTCTCTTTATGAATTCAGTTAATAAAGGACAGTTTAAATAACCATCCCACTAATCAAATGCATGACCTTAGCTATATACATATTTATACACTGCCTGTTTACCACCCAACCCTCAGGCAGGCTCAGAACCACCCACACGGACCAACAGGCTGAGAAACAGCTGTTACCCCAGCGCAATTCCTAGCTGCTGCTTATAACACAATAACTACAAATACTGTCAATATCCACATTTACCTACATATGCTGCAAAGTGGAGTGCATTTCTAGCAAACCAAATCTCCTTGTGTTACCAGATGAACCGGTAAAACCAGCTGTATATGCTGTAGATGTTTTTAAATACTGCCATACTGTTGCATAGCTGAAACAACTGCTGCAACTCCTTTGTTTGTTGTGCAATACAAACTTTATGAAATTTTTTTTTGAATAATGTCAGTGTTTAGTGTTTATACTATTATTACTACGTTGCAGTTTGCAGGCTAATTGGTTTTCTTATCAATACTGATAAGAAAACCGATTATTACACATTTTTGTATTTTTAAAGAAGTTTATAACCTGCAGTTTTTTACACACCTGAGGGTCAGAAAGCTTAAGATGTAGTGAGGAAAGATTGGTGATTTAATATTCCATAGCTCTTTTCTCACCAAATCTAACTGACATCACTATTGGTAACACAATAACAGTTCTGACTCTTCAAAGGTTCATTTATTTTCTTATTTATCATCATCATCATCAAAAACTTCAACGTACTTTCATAGAACATCAATCAATCCATCAATTAATTAGACTTTATTTGTAGAGCATTTTTCATACAAGCAAAACGTAACACAAAGTGCTTCACTCATTAAAACAAGACAGACAGACACTCACACACACACACACACACACACACACACACACAGTAACAAGTGTTTCTGTGAACAATAAAACATTAAATTAAGACACAAAGTGAGGAAAAGCTATCTCATCAAGTTGCAGTGAGGAAACAACCAAAGTCCATTTTTTAATTATTATTATTGTTACTTTGGATCCAATAACTCATAAGCTGTAATTTGACTACCCCAATAATTCATAATAATTGAAATTTCCCATTATCAGATGATTTATTTATGTTTATTATATGTTATATTCTGTGTTCCACTGACAGTAAAATAAGTCAAAATAAACCTATATAAAGGCCCAAAGATATACTGTGAAACCACCATAACCTTTGGTCATACCGCACAGGAAAATCTGCTGTGCTATAAAACAAGGCTTTGAACATCAGCAATGACAATTATTTTACAGTAATACAAGCATATATCCACAGCATTACTATTAATAGTAAGCATGTGTGAGGTATCTTTAAGCATTGTTTACAACTATTATTAACTTATTTTTGTATGTTTTTATGTATGTATTTGAGGTCATGACAGAGAAACATTGATTACGTGCTGCTTACACTGCTAATGTGAAGCGACCTGCCATAAAACTAATGCTTGATGCGAGGACTTTGAGAATGTGCGTCAGTTGACAGCCTCGTCTTGATTAACTCCCCTCAGAGGCTCGCTGCTCAGCTTTAACTGGCACTGCGGTCTCTATCGGCGAAATGTAGAAAGCCAAGCAGAAGGGAACAGAGCGGAACCCCGCACACCTGATACCCCTCGTCAGGTGATGGGTGTGTCAGCGAGGACTTCTCGCCGTCCCAGGTGCAATTCAGCAATGTGTCCAAACCCAGCAACGTGAATCCATGTGCAATTTATTACTGTCACCTACCAACATCTTGGGAGGAAGCTTGAAGTCAATTACGTTTTGTTCTTTACGTTGAGTGCTGTGTTAAGTGTCTCTGTCAAGCGTGTCAAATTGATACAAGAAAAAGTAGCAGGGCTGGCATTTTCCCCCGCTCATATTCTCATATCACAGCACTAGTCCTGTAAGTTTGCAGGCTTGAGCCACACACAAAAGAGCAGAATATGAACGTTCTGACACACAAGTGATATTGAGTGGGGGCGCTGAACAAAGCACTAATCACCACTGAGTGTTGTAGAAAAATGTCAGCAAGCTCAAGAACCCATCTTTGTAAGTATTGGAAGAAACAACAGAGGAGCATCAGAGACACAGACAGAATTGGGCACATGTCATGATATTTACTTGTGTTAGTTATGACACACATGTAGCTGTGTGAATTTTGCCTGTCATACCAGATCAGGGGGCTACAAGAATTAATAGGATCCGTCGCCACTCCTGCTGCTGCTGCCCAACCCAGATTTCTGTAATGGAGTTAGAACTGAATTTGTTTTGTTAACACCAAAATAGATTTGAATAAATGAAATAGCAGAATAAACATCCATCTACTACACTTACACAATTCAAATAGGCAGATAAATTGTTAATTGTTAGTGGCATGCAAAAAGGCTTTGACCACAACATGGCTTTAGAAAGACATACCGACCCCAAATAAGTGAATCGATTTACAATATATACACAATGAAGAGAATTACATTTAAACTGAGAACTCGGTGTGCCCAGTAAGGGAATATCTTCCAATTGCATAGGGGAGTATATATTTGTATATATATTATATATATACAAATATATGGGCATGTGTGTTTGCTTGTATGTAAATTAAAGATTTTGTTGTTAACTTTAGAGATGGATCCTCCACTTGTTGTTTATTTATTCGTTATTCTTATATTCATTTTTCTTTCTATAAAGTACAGGTTTTGTCCAGTTGACACATATGTATCATTTTTGTTTGTCTGTGTCCTTAAAAAGAAAGCCCACTAAAAACTTAATTAAAAAAATTATAATTAGCAATATCAACCCCTTCCTCCTCCCTCCGTGCACCAGTGTAATGATCACAGCTGTTTACTTGCTGCATTAACTCGGAATGACCATCTCCACTTCCTCCCACTTTGTGTGTGCGTGACCTTTCATAGGGGACCTGGCATCAGACGACGAGTACCTGGAAATCCCATCTATCTCCAGACAGAGAGCAGGGACGTACGAATGCACGGCCGTCAACGATATCGACACAGATGTGCAGACCATAGATGTCACTGTCAACTGTGAGTCCATTGCTTTGGCTGAAGAATTAAAAGAAAATATGTATTTGAAGGAACAGTGCTAAAACGATCAATTCGATTTATCAATAATCGGCAGAAAAAGGTACATCAGTTTTGTTGCTTATTATTTAAATCATTTATCAGCACAAAGCTGGATATTTTCTGGTTCCAGCTCCTCAGATTTGAGTGTTTGTTCTGTCAGTTAACCCATTAATGTCCACAGTTGAGTTTTGTAATTCCCTTTACAGCACTTAAAGTCCTAACTAGAATAGGGGTTGCTTTTTTATTTTCCATGAGAACACCTCCAGAACAATAGGTCAGGGACTTCAGGTCTTCATCATTTTTGATACACGCACATTCTGGACTGCAAAAAGTTTGAGTTCTATCAAATGACTGGTAGCTATAGATTTAAAATAATTTCAGTTAAGAGAAAGTTAACTTTGTCTACCAATTAAGACAAGATAAATATGTGAATTCAAACATTTAGAATTTAGTCTTGTGTAGCCGCATATCTTAACAGTTTCCACAGCAGATTTTGTGTTTCCAAATCTGGGTCACTAAATATAGTCTAATATAGTCATTAATAAATTACTTTCGAGGAATACTCAATATTTTGATCAAAAATAATCAAAAGATTCATGAGTTGTAGCCCTGTTAACAATAAAAATATTAGTGGTGGGCATTCAAATGTTTAAGTCTGCTGATTTAGATTTTAGAATGTAAATGTTGCAGCTTTACAAGAATGTATTTTCATGGATTCCTGCACACAGACCTAGAGAAAACTTCAATTTTTTAATTTTAATTAAATTTGGCATTTTCGTTCTTTTGCATTTTCTGTCCTATTGGAACTGTTGTCACACTGAATCAGATGTACTTTCTGGACGATGATGTGATCAACAGTTTACTATTAAACAGTGTGATTTTGACGTTTAACCAGGTTTTATATCTGATAATATTTATAGAGTAAATGATTGACTGAAAATTAAACTGCAACGATTTCGATAATCGATTTATCATTTAACAAATTGTTCAAGCATAGAAGGAGAACATCATCGAGATACAATTTCTCAATTACGATGTGCTACTTCTCTATTACTGATCTGATAGAAAACTGAGCATCTTAGCCTTTCTGACTGATTCACCACTGTCAGAAATATTGTACATAAATTGAACTCCTATTCCTGTTTACTTGTGGTCACGGTGTAGATCACAGCTATGCATCCAAATCTTCTGAAGAGGAGCGAAAGCTGTGACCCCTCCCCTGATATCCTTGACTTGCACTGCCTTGTAGTCCTGATCGCAGGGCTCTCATGTGTTTGTGCTTGCTTGTAGATGCTCCAACTGTGTCAGAGGGCAGAGATGTTGGAGTGACTCTGGGCCAAAGAGGAGTGCTGGAGTGTGAGGCCGATGCGGTGCCTGAGGCAGACTTCGAGTGGTATAAAGATGACAGAAGGTAATGGGTTTCACATTTGCATTTTATGTTGGCAAGTGGAAGAAGTGTGTGTGTGTGTGTGTTTACTGCCATTATTTTTTACAGTTATTGACAATTATTGATTAGCTGCCAATCATACTGGCCCTCATTACTGAAAATTGCCCCTTATCATTAATTCAATTATTATTCTCAGCTGTAGTTGTAAACACTGTCTCTCTTTCTCTTTTTCTCTCCCATCCAGGATCTTTAATGGATTTGATAGCATGGAAATTGTGAATAGCGGCTCGTTGTCGAAGCTGATGTTTTTTAATGTGTCTGACAGCGAATACGGCAACTACACTTGCGTCGCCATCAACAAGCTTGGGAGCTCAAATACAAGCTTCCTTCTGTATGGTGAGTACAGGCATCTGTTACATTTATTTTTTTTTGCACAGAACAGGAAGTAAAACTAAAGACACAGCCATAGTGTATCTGCTTAGTGTATGTTTCAATTAAAGTAATAACCCGTAATAACAAACTTTTTTCATACTTTTCTCCACTTTTTTTAAACATAGAAATGTCCCTGCATTGCACGGAAAGTAATGAATTCACATGCAGACAACTGCAGCATGTGTAGATTAAATATACAAAGACAATTTTATTTGATTTCTACACCTACGTGATTACGATGACATAGATCTGTGCTCACAGATCGCTGGGTTCAGACTGCTATTGTATTATGAGAACTGTGTATCAAGATTGCGCCCAGTTAATTCTGATTGATCAAAAGTTGACAGGCTGACCTCCTGCTGGCTCCCCAGATAGGTAAGAGACATAAAAACAGTTTACCGATACTGCTCCTGGATACTGGATACTGTGACTGGATCATTTTTATTGGACCTGATGGCACAAATTCTGCTAATATCAAGAGTAATTTGTGAGGCTCATTTTTTTTTTGGAGAATGCGGATTGTGCATGGGCAAAAAAGTGTTTAGCCCCTTTGAGACATATACCTGCTGATTTGAATGATTTCTTTCAGCTCAGATCAAAGTTACATAGTCACTGACTGTCGTTTGTTCACTTTCATTCTCAGCTGAGTGACACAATAGCGACTCATTATGCAGTGACTCAGACGTACATTCAGTCTGTTGTTGGTTCAAACTTTTACAGTCAGGTCACCACAAAATTAGACCACAGTTCTGTCTAATAAAGTTAATAACTCAGAAGTAGGGTAGATACACTTGAAATATTTAGTTTTCTGATATTGTATCGATTCTTAAAAACACTTTATCAAAAAAAATTTCAAAGTTACGTGCAGTGGTACATTTTGTGTTATGTTAAAATCCCTGACTGCTAGATAGCAGTGTTGTAATCTATCTTTTCAGCTCCAGCACTCAGATTGCACAAAAAGTAAAGCTATGATGAAGGATGTCATAGGGACTGTGATAAATACAAATGTAGATCATATAAAGTAAACTTTTTTAACTCAGATTTTATGCATTTAGTTGTGTGTTCTTTATACTATGACAGTTTTCCTAAAATCCAATTGCCAAAATGGAATATATTGCCTTGCTTACAGTATGGTAATATTTCAATATATTGAATTGTAACCACGGTATTAGGATACATATCATATTACCAGATTCCACCCAATACACAGCCCTATTCAGCAGCCAACTATTTGCAACATTACGATTGTTTTTGTGGCTTTTGTTGACTTTTAATATGCTTTTGACAAGGATGCAATGTACTGTGTACGACAGCTGAACTGACAAGGAGCACACAGTCACCAGCAAGCTCCACTGCTAAAAGTTACCGCTGTGACAATAATGACTAATATCATCAATTAATGATTCTTGTAGTGGGTCTAGCTTGAGGATCTAATATTGATATCATATATTGTTAATACTACACATACAGTATGATAATCTTCTGTCAGTAATCAAGCACCTCTTAAATCATTTCTGTTTCCTTCTGATCTGGATTTGTGGTTCACAGTTTTTTCAAAAAATAAAATGAATACAACAAAAGTTAAAGTTTATTTGACTTTTAGCATTATTTTTTAAATTTTTCCACAGACATCATAATAATATTGTTAATGTAAATTATTTGGCCAATCATGTAGTGAACATATGATATTATGATATTATGATATAGATATCGTGGTTTGAGCATGTACTGAACACCACTAAGCATGTTTAAATAACATCTTTTTAGGTCATACCTGTAACAGTTTGGTAAATCGTGAAACAATATGGCAGGTCTGAACTAAATGCTATTTGAGTAACATAAGCGTATAAAGCATAGCAGTATAAAGTAAAAAATGAGTGAGAGTATGTCAAGCAGTTTAAAAAAACAGAAAACACTGTGGCCAGTGTTACATTGTTGAGATTCTTCTCTTATCAGACGTCTACAGCAAGTACAGGAGTCCCAACTTAATGTCTAGTCATTCTATGGCTGGCACTAGTATACTTCACAAAAAGACAACAAATTCTCTAATAAATGATAAAATGTAAAATTTAGGAAGTGAGGAAGTGGCAAGCATCCGTTGCACTCAAAACAAGTTTTAGATTGAACCAGTGATACAGCATGTCAGAGAACAGAAAACACACAAGCATTGTGTATACTTCTGTATACGTCCTGTCATGTCTGAATGAAGTTGCATGGAACATTAACGCAAAAGATACTTGTCTGAATGACAAAAGCCATCACTTTACTAGATTCTTAAAGCTAGCAATGTTGCATAGTCCATGTCAGGAAGGGGCCTTTTTGAGCCAGTGGGAGTCACATTACCTGCAATTCCAACTGCCTCCACTACACAATCTCACAAACTGGCATTGGCCCTGGGCAACACATTCTCACAACCAACTTGTCAAATATGGCCGCTTGGTCAGTGGCCCAGTGCTTCAAACTAGCCTGTATGTATCCCTCTATTTAAATATACAACACCTGTTTAGACTTTCAAAATAAATCTTTCCGGGAAACATATCACATTTAAAACAGTCGCAGTTTGGTTAGGTTGGGGCATATAAACTATTTGGATAGGTTTAGGAAAAGATCATGGTTTGGGTTAAAATGAGTATGTTATGTAATGTAGCGTTAGACTTCAATTAGGCTGAAGTCAGCATAGACACAGGACACTAACAGCGTCCTCCTGGGTAACAATCCTGCCTTTGTTTGACCATCCATGACCATTGGATTTTATTGCTCTTTACACTTCGTGAGTATGTACTTTGACAGCACATTAAAACATTACACTAGACACATCTGCCTAAAAATTAAGCTAAAGGAGCACCTACAGTGTCATAGTTTGAAGCGTACGGCGACTGACCAAGCTGCCGTATTTGACGAGGGCTTCCTTAAAGACAAAAACTTTCACCAAACGTATCAATAAAGAATTTTGCGGATTATTACTTTATCAACACTTAGTGGTTGTCAGAGTTAAAATACTGCAGTGTTTCAGCTTTGAAATTGACTTTTTACACAACCTGTACTTTGATGAATGGCTGTTGGCATTATTATCAGTTTGAACATTCAAGTACGTAAATGTTCAGTCAGACTGTAAAAGTCAATTTAGCAGCCTACTTTTCATGCTTTTCACAAGTGTGTGCCAATGATGCGTTGCTGTTCTGTTTCCGATATGTTGCTCTGTTCCATTTTGTTCCCCTGGTGTAGTGGTAATTGAACCCACTAGCTCAACGCTATTGCAAGGTTAGTATTCTGCACTAGCATGCACTATAACTGTCATGGATCGAAAGTATTAACTGCATGCTGGCACATGACGAACATTGCCATTTTCACAAACTAGAAGTTAGGCAACATTTGACAAGAAGAGACAAATCACTTCTGGGCTTTTTGATCATGTCAAAATTGCATCGTAAAAATTGTAATGACTCTTTGTTCTCTTCATGAACATGACATGTTAAAGCTGTTGTGTGGTGGGCAGCATCTTTGAAGACGAGGGATGACAATGCAAACCACACAAATGTCATGTAAATCTTTGTGAAAATGGTCATTGCTGCCTGTTCTGTTAACCGTGTTTCATCTTTCTCCTCTGCAAACCTAACTGCCTCTCTATGTGTGACATGGCTTCACTTTGATTTTTGCATGCTGTTTTTTTCCACTGTAAGTATTCATCATCTTTCATTATCATCATTTGTGCTTGTGTGATTGTTTGTACCTCTAGGTATTGTATTTCAACTGTACATCCTACATGTGGAAATGGTGAAAGCAAACACAGACAGTAGCAGAACCTCACAAGTCTTGTATCTGCAAATAATGATAAAAAGCAAGTGGTAGCGATAGCGCAGAGATAAACACCTCATACATTCTGTCATTTAATGTGTCCTTGGGACTGGTGGTTGCAGCATCTTGTAAGCAAACCCACTCCATTAACACAATTGTATTAATAGCTTTGATTTTGACTAAGGGTGAACGTCATTATTCTAATTAGCCATATGCAGGATTAGGGATAATCCACTGTGGCAGAGTAATTGGATAGATGCCCCAAAGGAAACTCTGGTGAACTCATGAAAATCCAAAGGAAATAAGTAGTCATTGTGTTACAAGCTTCAAAGTTAAAATTTGTCCTCAATCCTCAAACAATGCATCTATTTAGATGGAACTTGCCTCATCCCTGAAAAGAGCATGATGAAAATGTGATGTATTTGAGTTTGTATTATATCGTTAGCTTCCTGGGAATTTCATACAGCGCTTCTAAAAGCTTTTCAAACATTGTAACACTTCGTAATACTAGAATACTACAGCTGACATTTTATTACAAGTTACTGAAACTTTAGTTAAAACTAAGGTAAATAATAGAAAGCACGTGTCTCCATTATGCATCTGAATGTGCAGAGGTTGTAGCTTGATAAATAAGAATCAGGTTAACCATTTTTATTAGATACAGTAAATGAAGCTAGAAAGATTGATTCTATCCACATCAGATTATTTCTCAAAATGCATGCTGAAATGCTGAAAAATATACCTCCAACACATGTGCTATCTCACTGTATGTACTCCACATATTTTACATTATATAAATGTATTATATATATTATATATTGTATTTTTACTGGACAAATTTGTGTGAAGAATTTGTATTAAATCTGCTGACAGTTACAACTGACCCAAGCAAACCTGGAAGTCAAACCATCATTTTACCAAAATCCTGGGTTTTTTTTTTTTAAAGCAGTTCCCAGTATTAAGGATGCCCTTGTTGAAGATAGAATGACCTTCTTTAAGCAATAGATGCTGAGCAATGTTCTGCTTTAATCCCTTTAAACCTTAGTGTAGCATTTGATACTGCAGACCATGTCATTTTGATCATCACACTCAAAAGCAGGTGTTATCTGCAGCACTAAATGTAGTTAACCTACCTCCCTAATGGAAGCTTTTACTGTATGTATTAGTGTAATTTAATGTGTACTTAGTAGTTAATTAGTTTCTTGCTCTGGATTCTTGCTTTCATCCACAACTACAATTCCTAAACTGAAATATTCTGCTATGTCTGAGTATTCAAACATGAAGCTGGTCAGTTATGTAATGATTGTACTGGAAGTGTCTTTACTTTAGCAAGAATACATACATACAGAATAAATCACAAAACAAAACAAAACCTCTTAAGTATCTGAAATGAACCAATTTAACCGATATAAATACATTTGGCTCCATTTGCTAAATAATGCAATAATAGTGATCAATATATTTTAGCAGCATAGATTGAAAACAAAGAAGGCACCAGGATAGAACCCTGAGGTACTCCATGCCACTGTCTATGTTTTGCATCGGCATCAGATGGCATTGTTTTAAGTTGTTGCTAGACTTTTGCTGTGCTAGTTGGATGTCCTTCTTAACACTGTTTCCTAGAAGTTACATAAAACAACTACTCTGTTCTATCAATTACACTTTGTGGGGAAACATAATTGCCCCCTGGATTATGTTTACTGGCAATGTTTGGATGGTAGGGGTTTAAAGTTCAGGATTCTGATACCAGAGACAGGGGTTCACATCCTGAGTCCCACGTATGGTAAGGTTTAGGCAACGAAAGCCCTTTATTTATGGTTAGGGAGACATCACAGTTTTGGTTTTAGCTCGTCAAATCTTGTGGTTAAAGTCACTGTTGACTTTTTCAGTAATTAATTAGTACTATTATAGACCACAATCTTTCCCTAACCATAACTGAGTGCCTAAACACAACCACAAAAAACATGCTTGAGTTGCAATGAACAGATACCGATATTGTCAGAAAACAAATGGAATATGTTGCCAGTGAACATTTTCAACATTCATTAACATCAACCCACATTATTAAATTCCACCAGTCTGTCTGGTCTTTAAAGTGAATTGAGTTTTGCAGATACATTCCGTTTGAACATTTTGCAATTTGGCAGATATGTTCAATAAAAATGTTGACTATTTACAGAATGTTGATTAAAAAATGTAATCCAGGACTCATTATGTTTCTCTCAAAATGTTTTTGCTGTTGTAAATTAGTTGTATTTAAATCTTCCCAGGAGACAGGGTAACTTCATCCACAGATTCAATAACAGCTTTTATAAGTCACAGTCAGGGCTGAGTGCACAACATCAATTACTTTTTATTTCAGTAAAAACAAACTCATTTTGCCAATGTGAAATGCCACCACACCTGTAATCACTATGGCCCCTTTTTCTAAGATGGGATACTATGGGAAAATGATTCTACACATTCTGTGTAGGCGAGTGATTTGAGTGGATTGGGGCTCCCCAGTAATTGTAAACAATGAGCAGATATCACTAATTAATTAATTATGTACACTGGTTTGCATGTAGAAAATACAGAGTGAAGTACTCACCTTGTGTTTTCATACAAACAAAACTACAAGTTTGCACTGTAAAAGTCACACATTCAGTGTCATGCCAGAAGGGGATTAATATAACAGATAGGAAGTTTATTTAATAACTGACCTCCAGTAGTGCCAACACAAAGGAAAAAACATCTTCAGAGGTGAAACTTACTATGGTGTTTTTTTCCCCCTTCTTTTCCCCCGTCAGGACCGAGAGCAGTTCAGGATGGCAGCGGCGGCGCGATGGGAGTGCACTCACACACCTGTCTCCTCTTCATAGTGTTTCTGCCGTTCCTGCTCAGATTTTGAAGAGGAATGGATTTGACACAAATATTTTGTGTGTGTGTGTGTGTGTGTGTGTGTGAGTGATTGAGTGTGTGTTCTTTTTTTTCTCAACCGGAACCATAAACTGATGCACAGTGAGTGCATGAGGTATCCTGCTATGTAATGATGTTGACCCACTAAATAAGTACGTAACAAACGTTTCTGTTGGGTTTTTTTAGATTTCAAGGATGTAACAAATGTTTCACATTTTAATTGAATTATGTTGGATATTTTTCTCTCTAAATTATATTATTCTGATCGTCTCTTTTTATGTATATGTCTCGGGAAAAAAATGATTTTTTAAATGTGGTGTCTCTTATTCAAATTGATTTGTCATAATTTTTAACCACATTGCATATTCATCTCAACTCCAGGAAAAGGCAAATTTACAGCAAGTACGAGAGGTGAATGTTAAATACCTCAAAGTCAAACCGAGACAGTGAAGCAGAAGGAATTTAGGTTACCCTGAGGCTGAAAGCCTGGTATTATCATATTTTAATGTATAATAATTATCATTCAGTCTGGTTGTTGAAAGCAGAATTGTTTTCGACCTTCAAGTATTTTTGTTCTCAGCATTATAGTGATATACTTGCAGTTGTGTTATGCTAATCTTTTAATTTTATTTTGTCAGTTATGTTTAGTTTTAAATATTTTTGAGAAGGGAACATATAAAGTTGTAATTATTTAGAACAATATCATGTTTTATGTCTCTGTTTTTTTTCTTTACCAGTACAGTTGTACACAAAAATGGTGTCAAGAATAATTATGTTATAATTAAGTAGTAAAAATGGAGGGAAAGTGTACTCCACTTGTGTGGAGTCGTTGTCTGACTTAAGTAATGGAAATGTATTCATGCTGTTGCTACTTGTTTGAGCATTATGCCATTTCCACACGACACAGTTATTTGAGAAAAATGTTCCTGTTCATGTTCCAAACCAGCACTGGCAGGTTAGAGACCACTCAGTAAAATCATAAGATCATAGAAAGTATTACACTTTTTGCATGTATTTAAACACCAGTAACCCAAAGACCTTAGCAGTTTATACAGGACCATACTTCATAGAATTTCCGTTTTCTAGTATAAACACCAACAAACAAAACACATTGACACTTGTTCCATGATATTGTCTTTTCACAAAAAAGAGTTCAATATGGGTTAAACGTGGGGTAATTTGGAAAGAATTCTAAAATCATATACCTAAACCAAAATACAGTATGTGGTTTATGCCTGTGAAATGCTCATCTGAACATGACTCCAGCTCTTATTACAAACGAAAGAATTGCAATCTTAATGTTTAGTATGCTAGCCAATTGACCCTTCCTAAGTCCCACCCCTTTATTTTTTCTGTGCTCCAATAACAGCAAGCCTGGGTCAGAACCCCGGTCAACTTTCTCCTTCACTTCTACTTAGCTACTTAGATATGCTATGTGCTAGGCTCATCTAAGTTCAAAAGACAACCACATTTTGAATATGTGTATATATATATATATAGAGAGAGACAGAGAGAGAGAGTCTGCAATATATCGCTTTTATCTTTTAACCTCTTCAAAACTTGAAGACTTTTCAGCATAGATTTTCTCTTTTACGTACACATCAGAGGTTCTGACTGAGGCTTGCCTAACTGTTATTGGAGCACCGAGCAAAAAAGGGTCAGTTGCAATAACCAAGACTGATCACAGGTCCGAGGAAAAAGGCTACAACTGTTTCTTTTCTCTTGTCTATATAGCTTGCAGTATCAGAAAAGGCAGGATATGTGCAAAATTAAGAAAATCATATCTCTGAGTTTTATAATGGAGAAAGATGAGCACACATGAGTGCCACTGGCGTTTTGAGAGGTGGACAACAGACGACAGACTCCGTTACCTTATTTGGTTGTGAGCGTGATGAAGAATTTATGCAACAATCAGAAGCCTCTTACAAAGCGGCAGCAAGAATTAAAGTCAGTAAATTTATCTCCTTTCACGTCTGTTGTGTTGGCAAACTATTCACACCAACTGCCAGACCTCACTCAGGTTCCCCCCAGCAGTGAAAAACAGCATGTGACAGTGAGAAAAAGCGAAATTCAGTGTTAGGCCACTGGTTCTGTAATGTGGAAGGGAGTTTTTAGGCATCATGCCTCTCTTGCAGAATGCATCACTATTTGCGTGTGTGGACGTGCAAACACAAGCATCTATTGACTGTTGGTTTTCTTGTGTGCCGTACAAAAGGATTTGTAGGATTCCATTAACAGAACATCAAACAAGAGCAGTGAAAATAAACAAATTAGTGTGTTTCTGTGTAGTGGTGGGGCACTGATTGAGTGTGCTGTCATGTATGGTTATTTTAAAATTAGTGTGAGCTAGTCAACACTGAGCAGGCCCAAAAGGAAACGAGTCACAGAACCGTTGATCTCTGTTCTGTTCAAGTCCCTCTTTTCTTGTGTTAAGAGATCTTTTTTTCCCCGGCCTGTCTTAGCTCTGGTGAGGTCAGAGTCCATCATCCACACACATCCACTCATATTTTCTTCAAACTCCGCCCCTTTTTGGCTCATGGGGATAACAAGGTTTTTGCTCCTCAATGTGAAAAAAGAACCAATACCTAAATGAAAACAGCATGAAAAACAGATAGGGCCATTACTGAAATTGATCAGGGTAATCATCAGCGGAATCTGACAGGCTAATCACAGTTTGTTTTTACAGATGAAACAGAGAGAGAGAGAGAGAGAGAGAGAGACTGAGACAGACAGACACTGCAGACTATTACTCATCTCCAGCACAGTGGTGTTTAGAAATTACATGCTAATTATTCCTTCCTGGCTTGAAGGATGGCACCACTGATCTCACGTCTGTTTTACCCAGTCATTGTGCCACAAGATTAACCGCATTTGAGATGAAGTGAAGTCAGATCACCTCCCAAGGAGGTCTGTGCTGGGACCCCTTCAGAAGGGTCTGCATGAAACGGTTATTAATATGTACAAACTAGCCTCATTGCTTTGACTTCACTTGAAAGGTCGAAAAGAGGTTTAATGTGACGTGCTTAAAGCTGCAGTAGCTAATTTCTATAAGAATATTTTTTGCCAAACTTTCACTGTATCCTGACAGTAGTACATGAGACAGATAATCTGTGAAAAAATCTAGTTCTTCTGGCACCT